CCCCTGCCCCTCCACAGACTTACTTGCTGGGTGGGGAGGGGGTGAATACTCAGCCTCCCCCCAAATGACATTTTCTCCCTCCATTTATGGCACACACACACCACCTTCCCCAGCAGCATTCCCTCTAAGCTGTGTGGTGTGTGCGGCTGCGCAGGTGCATCTGGCAGCGCAGCATGAACGTGCCTGTGCAGCTGCGCATGCCACACAGCTTAGAGGGAATGCTGCTCCCCAGTCCCCAAAGCCCTGGCCCTCCAAACCCTCTTGCCCCCCTGCTCCCTATACACTTACCTTCATCCAGCTGCCTGGCTGTGTCCTAGCCACACTCCCAGCAGCTGCTTGCAGGCTGGAAAAGTGCAGGTTTACCCTTGCAGGCTGGAATGCTGCCAGCCTGCAAAGGGAAACCTGCACTTTTGTGCGTTTTTCTGGTACAGGCTCGCAACCCTTAAAAATCATGGGGTGGGGCTAATTTTGCAGTATCCGCGCAGTCCGTGAAATGGCAATTTTCTCAGGACCCTAGTCATCATGACCCAAAAGTGGTTTGCAAGAATATGTGAGAGGGCCACAAACAAACTTTAAAAATGGATTCTTCTTTAAAGGAACTCCAGCCTGCCAAGGGACTGTTGAGGCCCCTATGCTCTGCCCTCCCCCCCCCCCCCCCCCACACACTCTGCAGGGCTGGGACTGGGGGCAGTGGGTCAGACATGAGGGACACCAGCAGAGCCAGGGGCTGTTTTCTACTTAAATTATTTACTGGGTCAGGACTGGCCATCAGTGTTTACAAATGGTTCCTGCCTGGTACAAAAAAGGTTGAGAACCACTGCTCTAGAGGGTAGGACCTGAGGTGGGGGAGGGACTTGGGTGCTTAGGGAGTGGGGCTAGGCACTGAAGGGGCTTGGTGTTAGAAGGGGCTTTTCAGGGGGTAGGGAAATCCCTGAAATGGGGGAATCCTGCCTGTGCCCCTCCCCCCTGCTCCCCCAGAACTGCTCCCAGCTGATTCAGACAATTGAGGACGCCGGTAGCATCCAGAGAGAGATCCGGGACCTGGAAGAACAGGTGGGGGACTCCTTAAACCTCCCCTAAATATTGGGGGAGCTGAAGTAAGAGGGGGCATCTGTGGAGAAGCTGCTGAAATGGAGGCAGGTCTGTTCTTGGGGTCCAGGTTTTGGGGGGAAATTATAGGGGACATGGGAGTTTGGATGGGCACAGGCCAGGCAAGGAGGGGGAACCCTATACCTTG